CTCAGCACCACATACAAACAAAGATGTTGTGTCCGCCGAAAACTAAAAAATAAATATTAAAAAAAAATTCCCTCTCTCTCTCTCTCTCTCTTTCTCTCTCTCTCTTAAAAAAATAAAAAGGTTTACATCATTAGGTATAATTACTGTTAAGGACATGGTCAGAAAAAAAGAAATTCAAGCCACAGGAAAAAGGGACAGAGTTCTTATACTATTAATCTGTGATCCCCAATTTCTGATCAACTTCTGAGATGGCAAAAGGAAGTCACTCAGAATTTCTGTCATCATGCTTTATGTCTAAGAGGGATCACTATGAAAAATTTTACCAGCAGTTCTTTCCAAAATACCCCTTCCTGAGTTTACGTTTAATAAATGAGTATTTCCTTGACTCCAGTGCTGAGTCAAGCAATTTCTGGGGCTCCTAGACTCAGTTTATACTCAGAAAGCTGTGTAGGCCAAAAATGTCAAGGACATGCCAGGTCTTTAAACCCAGTCCCCTCTCCCAGCACAGACCATGCACTCAGGGTTCACTCTGCTCCCCTTATGGGATTTTCCTTCTCCCCAGTTTCTTTCTGTCGTGGAACCTAGCCTCAAATGGAAAAGTCACACACATACATTGCAAACATAAGTATATTTTCTCTTTTGTTCTCCCTTCACTTTGTTCTACCAAATAAAACAAAGATTGATTAACAACAGCTAAAATGTAATGACACTTTATCAGGCATTTCAGTTTAAATTCTTTCACGTGTTTTAATTTATTTAATTCCCACAAGGATCTTATAAGGCAAATATGGTTGATAATTATATTTTACAGAGGAGAAAAATCATGGCACAAAAATGTCAAGTATGGGGGGCACAGAGGTGCCTGCCTGTAATCCCAGTGGCTCCGGAGGCTGAGGCAGGAGGATTGAAAGTTCAAAGCCAGCTCAGCAATGGTGAGGTGCTAAGCAACTCAGTGAGATCCTATCTCTAAATAAAATACAAAATAGGGCTAGGAATGTGACTCAGTGCCCCTGAGTTCAACCCCTGGTACAAAAAAAAAAAAAAAAAAAAAAGTTAAGTAACTTTCTGAAGCTTGTTCAGCTACCAAATTGTAGAGCCTGGATTTGAATCTAAGAGCCCTGACTCCAGGCCTGAACTTTAAAGTACTCTTCCATACTATAAAATAATTCTACTGCTTAATTGTTAAATACCAGATTGTTTTCTTAAGTTATCTTGCTTCAGTTCTTATATTAATGCTGTTAAGTAGACATAATTCATATTTTATACAGAGTGAAACTGAGTTGAGAGTTAAGTGGACCAGGCACTGTGGCACATGCCTGTAATCCCAGCCTGGGGAGGTTTAAGTGGGAGGATTAGAGTTCAAGGCCAGCCTCAGCAATTTAGCAAGGCCCTAAGCAACTTAGGGAAACCCTGTCTCAAAAAATAAAATAAAAAGGATTGGGGATTTAGCTCAGTGGCAAAAAGCCTCAGGGTTCAATTCTGGTTACAAAAAAAAAAAAACAAACAAACAACAACAAAGAGAGAGAGAGAGAGAGAGAGAGAGAGAGAGAGAGAGAGAGAGAGAGNGAGAGAGTTAAGTGGCATAGTTAACTAATGGCAGAGGTAAGATTCAAATCAGTTCTGTCTGGTGGCTCTAAGTAGAATCCATTTATTTCAACTCCTGTTCCCTATGAGAAACGAAAAAGGAGTGTTTCTTTCAAATTGGTTGCCCAGTTTCATAGTGAGCAAAATTTCCTTGAAGCTACAAGTGTAGCCAGTGGCCCCCCCCCTTTTTGCCAGCTGATTGTTACTACAGATGACAAGGTGAATCCTGTTACCCTATTGTCCCTTTGAAATCAAATATTGCATTGAGTTTTGCCTCCTTAGTGAAATTAGCTAATTGCCCATAATGCTTTGTGGATTTTAAATGTACTGTAGATGGTTTCTCCCTCAATCAGGGGTCCCTTTTATGGGAAACAATTGTGGCTTCTATATCCTCTAGAAAATGTGAAAACATGTTCTTTGGGGAACTTTTCTGAAACAATGAAACTCTAGGGTTGACCTTTTTTATAAAAAAAAAAAAAAAAAGGTTAATTCAACTCTTGCTTTTCTTCTTTGGAATGTATAAACTCTTGCCTAGGGCCATATGACAGTCATCCCTCTTGACTGGGGATTTTTCATGGCCTTTGCTTCCTTGGTGCAGGAGACCTGGCACCAGAACTTCATTTTACATAGCTGCCACTGCCCAAGTGCTAATCTGGAGCAACCCCAAGGTTCCTAGGATCCCTGATTTTGTTTGGAGCACCTTTCTTAAAGGCCATACACTCTAGAGAGAAGGCACATGGATAGTTTCATAATGGTTGTCATTTAGCCCATTAAAATTAATCCAAAATTAAGCATTTGTGCATAAACGCAGGGTTTTTAGGGTAAATATAGGGTATTACAACTAAAAAGAGATTTATAACCATTGGTTTATAAGCACTGGTTTGGAAAGGGGAGAGGAGAAGAGGTTGCTCTGATGAAATATATTGAAGAAAAGGCAAAATATTGTGCCTAAGGAAAAAAAAAAGTTCTTGGCCATTAAGACATTTCTGGCCTTTCATAGGCAGCCTGGGCGACAGGAATAGTGTACAGTAACATCTGCTGCAACCAAATTAGGCCTCTAGGAGTGGCGGGCAGCCCCAGCCCTGCTTCTATTCATGGGGCATTTATTTACCCTGTGCATAACTAGAGCTTTACTACAGATATTTAGTTCATCAGATCCTCCCAATATTCCTGTAAAAATAGACATTTTTCTTTCTGACAAACAAGGAGATGCTTGGAAGGATTTCAGCCTCTTGGCCAAGGCCACATGAGGCCAGTTGGTGGAAGAGCTGGATTTCAAATGCAGATCAGTCTGATTCCAAGGTCTGTTTATTCTCTTCCCACCCCATCTATTGTTTCTCTATCTATGTGGGTTGCCAAAAAAAGTATTGTTTAGTGTAGCTTTTCATTGTAGCAGCACTGTGAGTCCCTCAAGAACATACTCACATGCTGATAGGAAAAGCCTAAGTGTTATCAAAACGAACAAGAAAATTATACATTTCTCTGTGTGGCAGAGGATAAGCAAGCCCTGCTTTCCTTGATGTGAAATGAAGTCCCACTCACGTGGCTCTCACATGTTGCCAGGCGTCTTGCTGAATACCAAATATGTAGCAGTCCTCATCTAACAGCCCAAAGACTATCTGGCCAGGGTAACTGTAAGTCAAAACTTAAT